GGTTGGTGCTTTGTCTAGAAGAATTCATATTAATAGTGTTAAGAATAGTCTCTAAGCGGATTATCTTTAATGCCATCACAACTTGGTTCCTAATTGGTATCGGGACATTATAGCTTCATATCAGCATGATGACAGAGCACAAGAGATCATCACAACTAAAGAGCTTCAAGCTAGTGCTTTCTCTCAATTTTTTTTACAGTGAAGGCATATTGAGGTATAAACACCGGGTTTATATTGGTGAGGATTAGGAACTAAACACTCGGTTAGTGAAGGTTGTGCATCAATCTACCATTTGGGGTCACGCAGTATTCGGAATACCTACGGAAGGCTCAAATAGTCTTTTTATCGTCAACAATGAAGTTAGGGATTACGAAACAAGTAGCGGAATGTAATACTTACATTAAGGACAAATTTAAAAGAGTAGCTTATCTAGGTCTACTACAACCTTTACCCATTCTTGTAGAAGCTTGGAGAGATATTTCTATGGATTTCATGAGGGCTTGCCCAAATCGAAGGTAAAGACACCATCTTAGTGGTTGCGAATAGGTTCATAAAGTATGACCACTTCCTTGCCCTTTCTCACCCATTTATGGCCAATGATGTGGCTAAAAAATTCATGGAGCACGTTGTTATTGGTAGGTATAAGGTCTTTACAAGTGTGTTTTAGAAGGAGTTATTCGGGACTTTAAGGGTCTAATTTCGTATGAGCTCGACTTACCATCCTCGGTCGGATGGCCAACCGAGAGGCGGGACTAATGCTTGAAAACTTACCTATGGTGTATGTGTATGCATTATCCTCAAAGGTGGCATAAGTGGCTGCATTTGGCACAGCTTGTTGTACGGTTCCGAGTTTCCATTCAGCCATTAAGATGTCACAATTCTAAGCTCTCAATGGCTATCTTCCTCTCCATAGGAAACTAATGTTACATGGGACATCCGTTGCTTGCTATCGTTAAAGATGTGGTGTGGGAACGAAGAACTATGGATTAATTCCCAAGTGCTCAATTAAGTAAGGCATGGCATAGGATGAAACAAATTACCGATCTAAAGAGGATCGAAGAGGTGTTTAAAGTAGGGGATGCGGTTTATCTCAAACTTCAGACTTTATAGGCAAGTCAGGATAGCATTGAGGAAGAATTTAAAGTTGAATCCTAGGTATTTCGACCCTTATACCATTTTGCGAAGGTTAGATAGGTGGCATACAAGTTAGAGTTACCGACTTCAATTCTTGTTCACCCAATTTTTAACGTTTCTCTTTTGAAAAAGAAGGTGCGCAACAATGTAGTGGTTACCACCGATTTGCCACCTTTGAATTGTGATGGTCATTTTACATCAATTTTTCAATTTCTTTTTTGATCCTTGAGGACAAGGATCCGTTAAGGGGTATTGTTACGGTTTGATAAATCACCTGGAAGGTAGAGAAGTGAAGACGAGTGTGAGCAATGATGGAAATAACGATCACTTACCGAGGTGGCTTCGTTATAACTAGTGGTCGATATGGAAAGAGGTTACAATAGATTAGGTGACATGGCCTTAGATAGTTAGACAGCTAAACATTAGTTAGCAATATAAAAAGGGTGTAACATAGACATGGTAACGGTTCTCGAATTGTCGGTTAAGGTTTCACCAAAAGGTGAAACCTTAACCAAACCTTCTATGGACGATTTCGGTTTTGGTTTGAAACCGTAAAACCGACGGTTTGAAATTGTAAACCGACGATTTGAAATCGACGATTCAACGGTTTTTTTATTAAATGAAAAAATAAAAAAATCGAACATTTTTTCTCAACATTAACATTGAAACGAAAAAACTTCTTTTTGCATAATCTATAAATATTATAATATTTTTTACATTATAATGTATTTCACACAATAAATCAAAGAAAAAAATAAATAAATAAATAAGGGCTTGAACTTAATTTTTGTAAGAACTACAAAAATTAAGCTTCCTACGTATCCTCTTGGGGTTTAGAGGAATCAAAGCTTACGTAGTTCTCTTTTATATTTCAAATTACCCCTTTACAAATTACATTTATGTTTTATATAGTTGTGCCTAGTTACTTTCTTGATCGAAGTTTCGGCTTCGAAGTTTCGTTGTTGTGCCGTCGGGTGTTAGATCCATACTTTCTTCATTGAAATCATATTATTTTTGTTCTTGTGTTCTCTTGTCGGCTCTTATCCAATCATCCATGCATACTTGGGCTTCAAGTGACTCGAAGCCAATTGTGATCGCCTATCATCCAAAATATTACCTCCGGAGATAAATGCTCTTTTAACGGTTATTGTTAAAGTCGGCACAACAAGTATTTATCTAGCTATTATGGACAAGACTCGGAAAGATGCTTGCATGTCCCTTTCACCAATCAATTACTTCAAAATCTACACCTGCATTGCTATCACCAAACTCAAACACGAGTTGTTAGATAAATATCAAGCTCGAAAGTGGAGCCCGATGATCCTCTTGGCCTTTTTGTCCTTTTCATGGCCATAAGATAACCTAGCTCTAACACGTTGGCTACTTGATGATGATTGTGGCATAAGTGGTAAAGAGGAACTAGCATGTTGATCACTCACGATTAAAGACATTTCAATATATAAATCTCTAACTCTGTTTTATGATAGAAGTCGTTTCTATTTCTACATTTTTATCAAATAATAGCAAATACTCATAATAAGTATTCAAAACAACAGAAAGACCTTCCATTTTAAATCTAGGATCAAAGACTAAAGCAACAAGATAAATAGGTGGAATTATTTCATAATAACTTAACCATTTTTATTTCATTATTTGAACAACGAGCATGTAAAGTTGGCATATCTTTTTCTACATGATTAAAAGCTTCAACAATATTAATTGCTTCAATCATAAATAAATGTGAAGTTGGTTGATAAACGACACTAAAAGTGTATGTTGCATTATTAAAAACACTTAAAAGTTTCAAAAGTGGTTCGCAAATATCAAAATCATTTTGACAAATAAAAACATAATCTATATTTTTTGAAAAAAATAAGCATAATAAATCTTGATATTCAAAAGACTGCCTAAGTAAGTCATAAGTTGAATTCCAACGAGTTGGAACATCTTTTGAAAATCGTCTTGGTTTTTTATTTCTTTCTTTGCAAAACTTTCCCCATGATTTCATCTTTTGGGGATATGTCCATAAATATTTAGCAAAAGCTTTAATTGGCCTAACAATATCTTTAAGATATTCCAAATCAGATTGCACACATAAATTTAAAACATGACATACGAATCTAATATGGAAAACTTACCTCCAAGATGGGGTTGACAAAGTTCTCTTAAAGACTCTACCGAAGTATCATTAAAACTAGCATTATCAAAAGAGATTGAAAATATTCTTAAAGGTAAAACATATTCATCTAAAATCCTTTTTAGTATTTTATATATATTTTGAGCGAGTATGTTTATCATAAAAAACTCTATATGTAAGAAGACGTTTTTGCATGTGCCATTCATTATCAATCCAATGACAAGTTACACCCATAAAAGAGTGTGTTTGCCATTGATCAAACCATATATCGGAACATATAGAAACACGACCATTCAAATTTACAAATAATACGAGTTAATTCTCTTTTTTTATCTCTATATAATTTTATAACTGTTTTTTTTTAAAGAATGTCTTTCAACTTGCTTGAAAGCGAGGATTTAAAGTGTTAAAACAATAATCACTAAAACCCATTTTTTGACCAAAACTAAAAGATAAATGATCAACACATATCATTTTAGCCATTTCTTCTTTATTTTTTATATCGGTATACTCGAAATAAAGAGGAAGATTGAGAAGCAAACCCGAATATTTATGTCCGATGTCTATCATTACCAAGTACGGATGGATGATTTTTCTCCAAGTGGGTTTTGAATGTTCCATAACCACCTCCTTGTTTGAATATGTATTGCTTGTTGTAGTAGTTGCAAATCACGGTAAAAATGCCTTTTTCTAACGAAATTTTTGAGAAATGAATTTTGAAGATGTCGGATGATCTAGGTGTAAAATTTGATTGTTGTTGTTGCTCTCCTTCCCGATTTTGATTGGCATTATTACTTTGTTGTGATGGCATATGTGAACTTGAACTTATCATTTTTTGTAGTATAAAATAATAAAAATGTAAAAATTTAAGAAGTATTTGGAGTATAAAAAATATTGTAGGATAGTATTGAGAATTCTAGACTTAAGAGTTTAAGAGATTGAGAGAGAATGAGAGATTGAGTTGTGAGAAGAATAAAAAAAATTGAGAGTGAGAGAGTATTTATAGAAAAGAAAAGAAAGAAAGAAAAAATAGAAAACGGTCACAAATTGAGTATGTGACAAACGGTCACGGACCGTTTGTCACACACACACACACACACACACACACACACATATATATATATATATATATTAAGTCAAAATTTAAAAATTATTAGGCTTAATTTTTTTTTTCATTTTTCAGTCCAATAGCTATTGTCCATCCCATATAAAATTGGTTTTTTAATTTAAATTTTTTTGTTTTTTTTTCGACCCAATCCAATTTATTAGGAAAAATATGAAACCGTCGGTTTAGAATCGTCGATTCCGGTTTCATGATATCTTAAACCATAACCATCCCATAGATAGCTGGTTATGGTCCAGTTTGATTAAGGTTACGGTTTTAACGGTTTCGATTTAGTTTTTTAACGGTTTGGTTTCGATTCGATTTACGGTTCAAACCGAACCGTTACCATGTCTATTGTAAAGACTACATTTTGGTTATTCAATGATTAAACAAACAAAGGATTAATTCCTGGAGCCCTCTCTCTCCCATCTCTTTCTTCTGCTTCTTCTTCCCTTGACTTCTTCTTTATAGTTGTGCTTTGTTAAGTTTAGTGCTTAACATAACAACAAGAATAAGACAACAAGAGAATACTTGGGGAGGTAGCCATGAAAAGAAATTGTCATGTTTCTCATTTGCGTAATAGATCATGCTCATGGAGTATGGTTCCATTTGTAGGCGAAGAACTTAACCACTAGGAGAGCGTTGTGCTGGCTCGGTGTTCAGAAATCCATCTGAATTGGGAGTTGCAGCAGCTGAATTGATTGAGAAAGCTGCATTGAAAGGTTCCAGAATAGGTGGAGCAATGATTTCTAACATCCATGCCAATTTCTTCATAATGCTGATGGTTGAACTTCTCAAGACGTGCTCGAGCTCATTGCTTTGGCTAAGGAGAAGGGAGATCAAAAGTTTGGGGTGCAACTTAAGGAAGAAATAATACACGTTCATCCATATTGTTATGGTTTGATCCCCAACAGAGACAAACAACAAGCAATGTAATATTTGATGATGAAAGAAAACAGACGTTTTTGCAAAGAGAATAAGTTCGTAAAAGGCTGATACGTTTTGTTGGTTTTTTTTTTTTTTTCCTCATATCGGAAAGTTCAAATTTTCTCAACCTACATATCAATTTGATTGTTTCAGCACAAGCCAATCACGAATTACATGCCATGTCTAGTAGGTTTCGGCACTTTTGGTTAGTGCTTTGGTGACGACATGAGTAACAATTCCAATCGGGCAAAAGAGCAAGCAAAGAGAAACTGAATGCCGAGTCTCAACTTCATTTTCTAGTCCGTCATTAAATACCTGCCTGGATAATCATAATGGCAGAAGTGTTAGAACTGCAAAAGAAAAAAAGAGGGATGGAGAGGGGAAATGGACAGACCTTGCAGCAAAGAGGTCTACAGCTAACAAATGAATCCAAGCTGAAGCTAGTGTCATCTCACTGGAGAACATTTTTGCTATACCAGGCAGCTGCATACAGAAACCAGGAAGAAGTTTTCGTTTTCACAGTAAACAGACATCTGCTTCAAAAATTGAAGGGGAAAACAAAAAAGCAAGGATATTACGCTCATACCTCTGGTAACCAGTATTGACTTGCAAACATCATATGTATTGTGTCAGGTGTCCAAGAGAGGTATAATAGAAATGCATATATAAGTCCCAGCACAACATATGGAATGCTACTTTCCATAGACTTTCTAGTCTGCATTTTGGTCAAAATTTAAGCAGTTATGCTGATTGTTTGAAAATAAGGCGTAACAATAAGCTTCCAAGGAAAATCACATGCAAACAGAAGTTAAATGCCGACATGGGATTCAACAAAACTGCAGAAAAAAATAACAATCTTGACTTGAAATTTATTATCTTAAAGTGCTAGTTGAAAAAAAGAAAGATTCAGCAAAAGCATTGTGACAGATGGTGGACAATCTTATTAAAAACCCCAATAAAGTAAAATCAAGGTTCAAAAGAGAACATAATTGTAGCTACAACTAAGTCAAGAATAAGAATTCTTCTCAACATCTGCAAAAACTATAGAAGAAGCTGAATATTCATATGCAATGAACAGACACTATATGACTTGGGGGAAAAAAAGAGAGCAGAGAATACATATGAAGTCCCTTACAAGTACAGAAAGCATACCAGTTCAGCTTTAGGAGCTACAACCATGAGCGTGTAAAATGGGAGAACAGCTGCTGTTCCCAAAGTAAAAGCACTGCTTGCAATCTGAGAACTTGTCAACCCTGTAATATAAAGGAATAAAATAATAATGAGTGATGTCTGCAAGATACAGACTTATAGTTAGTAGATGTTGCTAGAAGCATTGCATTTAAAAGAAACAGCTTGTTCCACACTAATCTTTAATTGTTTAAGATATGGAAAAACCTGTTTTGCCAATGTGTCATGCAGAAAAGATCCAAGAGGGAATAACAAAATTATTCCTACCTGACCATAAGTCCTGTTGGTATTTGTGAAAGAATATGAACCAACAAAAGTCCCTCATTTCTGAGGCTCTGATAGCAAGTAATTCTAGAGGAGATCAAGTACAAGCATAGTAAGTCAGTCATCCCAAAGGAAAGAGAAATGATACAGAATCTGGAGCCACAACACCATTTGACAGCTACTTATCTATGGCTTCTAAATAATTCAAACCAAGTAATTAACCTCAAGCATCATAAAGCAGCACCTACTCCAAGCATCTGAACCCCATAGCCAGAGAATTTTTCACATAGAAAACAGCAGGGAGTCTAGCTAAAATTACAAATGAGCAGGAGAGAGTCTAGTACAATAAGGGGGAAAAGATGAGTTGCAATATGATAATTTCTCAAAATAGATTTTTTTTTTATTATATATATAAAAAAAAGGGCGATCCAGATTCATCATGAAGAAGGAAAAAAAAAAAAAAGGGAAAATTTGCATACTTAAACATGTACATAAACAAGACAGATCTTTTCAAGCATTTAATTATTGGACATTCAGCAATGCATCAAACAGAAACCAAATAATCAAATAAAAAATGGAAGAAAAGAAATGCTAAAAACCTCTCATGAAATATTAACATCACAAAGATGAATAAACAGGACAATTGGCCAAAAAAGAAGAAGAATTACATGATGCATTTACTCCTGAGCTTTTCCGGTAGACAAGGAAATTTGTAAGTTTTGGATGAATGATAATTCTTGAACCTCCAAGAAAACTCCAGTCTCTATGTAAGTCACCTCCCACTCTTGAAACCCATAGGCCAAAAAGTTTCTTGCTATTGCTTCTAAGTGAGGGAAACAACTTTCGATCTGTCCCAACAACGTGATGAGACCTTATAGTCTGCCCCAAGTAATCATTCTGATACGAAATCAAAATAAACCTTAAGAAAAGCCCTCAAACTCATGCATATAAGCAGAGTGATTCACTGTTGTGGTGCACTCTAGAGGCAATTCAAACTCAAATTCAGTGCATACAACACTTTAACCGGAAACATAACAATTTCAGAGGATCAGAACCCATTTAATCTAGTCGGGACATATAGAATACATAATAGATCATACTGTGATATAACAACATCAACAAATAATAACCTCAGCATGTGTGGACCATAGAGAGGCGTAACACAATCTGCTGCTATAAACATAGCAACAACAATCCAAGTGTATGAAATGCTAAAGAGATCGAATGTCAAAGAAGCGAGGAAATCAAAAAAGAAAACTACATATAGGTGAAGTGTGAGCAGAGATAGTACAGCAATGCAAAAAGTTATCTCTGAGACAAATCCTCACTACATTAATGAAATCACCATAAGCCTCAACTAGTGGAATGGCCCCAATTGCCAAAACATGAACAAATTCATGTCAATGCATATTTTCGAGTTCACAATAAAAGTTAAAAAAATATAGGGATGTTACTGATTTCTCCATATATTTACAACACAGAGGCAAACTCTCATAAAGGCAACCCCTAATAATCCTTCTAAAATCAAATGGGTGCAAAAGGCATCTTTTTTTTTCCCCTCTTTGTTTTCTCTCTTTTTGTTTTTGTATTTTGAGAACAGAGGTGCAAAGAGCCATCTCGGATTTGCAGAAATTCAACAGATATGTAAAACGTCTATATGAAACTTAATTGAAGGTAAGCCAACTTCCCATTTCCAATCTAAGAGAAATTCATCCAAAACCACTAAAATTGCCACTTTTTTTTTTCTTGAAAAACAGTAAAATCAAGAAACAGCCAAGAGATCCCCGAGCAAACACTTGTAATTCAATTCACTAATCATTGTAGTACACCATACACCCAAATGCATCCATCCATTCATTCAATAGACAACAAGGCCACTGAGAAGTGAAAATAAAGGAAAAAAGACCATACCTTGAGTGAGAATTGAGGAAGGCAAAAGCAAGAAGAGAAGGCCATGACTGAGGCAAAACAGAAACACCCAACAACAATAATGGCCTCTTCATTCGGTAAACACTAGCTACTAATAATAATAATAATGCAAGTTACCAAAAAAAAGAGGTCGGTGAACTCCCACTAGAGAGAACATGGGTAACAGACAGGCAGGCAGCTTAAGAAAGGAAAGAAAGTTAAAGAAGGTATAATGTTTTCCCACTGAAAGAGTAACTCACAGTACGGCCTTTAACACTGTCCTTTGTAGGACTACAAGTTCTAGATTTCTACCAGTAGAAGCAAAGCTCTAGTAAAAAAAGACAGAAATTTATCTTCAGACAAGGTTGATGATGGATTAACGGTCCACTTTGAGTTACATTTTTTGTGCTTTGTGGGCTGTCTCTGAACTGGATGGGTAGAGTTATTTTTTGGGCTCTCTCTATTCCCGGGTTGGATACCACATTTTCTTTCAAACAGGTGACAGATACATGTGGCTGCTGACTAGATGGATGCCATGAGGTGGATTTAGTCATATTTGGTACTGTCTAATGGAATGAATATATATGTCACTGACATGTTAGTGAGATGGGTGGCTCCCTTTCAGAAATTTTATAATTGGTAAGGAGGAAAAAGTAACATATATAATAATTATTTTATGGATCTATTTTAAAAAAAAGATAAATATAAAAAAAAACAAAGAGAGAAAATAAAAAAATTTAAAAAGATATAAAAATCTTCTAATTACTTTTGGTGGATATGGATGTAATTTTTTTATTTTTTTGTGTCTATCTATTTCCTCAAAATGAATCCATGAAATAACTATCGTATACGTCACTAATTACTCCTAGTGTATTATAAAATTTCTCGCTTCTACAAGGTTTTGATGTGAATCAAATAGCATTTACTTCGTTAGAAAAACATTACAAAGAGATGTTTTTTTTCTTGTTTGACTTGACAGTAAAAGATATTTTGAATTAATCGAAATTAAATTTTTTATCAAGTGATCTTAAATGTATTATTATATCGATTTTAAAGATTTAAATTAAAAAATCAAGAAAGATAAAAGGTGTTTTTGACTTTAAGACAAATCTCTTAAATTTGTAAATAATTGTTCAAAAATATGGCAAGCCACTGTAAAAATGTTGCAATGTAATGATAAATGCATAAAATATTGCAAATTCATTGAAAAAGAAAAAAACTTCTTATATTGGTGAACGGTGGCAATAAATGGGTTAACCAACTATGGTTCAGAAGACGGATATTTGTGACATCTTTGTGATTGTGAACCACAACAGATTGGTACAGATGTTGATTTATGCTCACAGGAATATTGGTCATTTTCTGGTGGAGCCTTACATGAACTTCATACAACTGGTGTTGGGATAAAAAGGTACTTGGCTGAATTGAACCAAAAGCTTTCTATAAATGGCCTAATGGGTTGCTGGTATGACAATGAAGTAATTAAAAATATACCAATGAAGTGTTTATTTTGACATGGAAGGTTTGTCTTTAATCAAGATTAAAGAGAGAGTTTGAGGTTGGTGAGTCTCTATTTAAGAGAAAACGAGTATCAAATAAGTAAGTAATTTAATAAAAATAAAATTAAGTTAAGAAAGCGATCTAGTATTTTTGGTATGTGGAAAAAAAAAAAAACCTCAAAAATATCATCTAACTACCCAACAAAAAAAATCATAAACAAACATGCACGTCCACAAAAAATAATTCAATTTTTTCATGATGAGCAACAAGAAAAGAAATTGCTTTTACATATATACTTTCCATACTAAAATTTCATATAAACTACTCAACTTATAAATTATAAAATATGGCTGGGTTTAATAAAGTCTATATTATTGGTCTTTTGTTAAAAAATAAAAATAAATAACATATGCGCTGTATGAAAATTTTACATGAAGAATTTATTTGTATAACTTTACTCATGAGAAAATAGGAATCAGAGAAAATTAATTTGCTCAAAAAAGGAAAAATGTAAAAATAAAACAAAGCTGAACTTTATATGTTTTATGATCTTGCTTATATATATATATCCAAAAACTTTATTATTGTACACAGCCAATTGGACACTTCTAATTAATATATTAGGCTAATCCTAAACTCTAGTGATCATATATGTAGCCCATATTTGCAATTTAAAAGCCCAAATTTTAACCTAGTCCACAACTACAACCACAATCACAACCATTCACACCAAGTCCGCACAATAAAACAACTATCAACTTAAAGGCCCAAAATAAAAGAAATAGAATATACTAACCGTTTACCCGTGCTATACAAGACGTCGACTAAAATAAAATCATTTTAAATTTTATAATTTTTTATAAATTTTTTACTTCAAAAAAATGATTTATTTTATTTTATGTGTTGATTCTTAAATAAAAACTTATAAAAATTTAAATCAAAATATTAATCAAGAATTAAAAAAATATATATTTTAAAAATATATTTTTCATAAGAATGTGTTTAAAAATTAAAGTTATAACTAATAGACGAGACTTGCATAAAAATTAACTAATAAAAAAATATTTTTTATTTAATGTTAATGAGAAGATTAATTTTTTAAAAATGTATTTAACCAAAGTCCATACTTGGTTAGTATGCATGAATTCCATTTTGGATTACATGGCTTTATGCCATTTATTAGAGTCAATGTCTAACAATGCTTCTTCATAGGTATTAGGTTTGTCATCCTTTATAGGAGACACATCGCTATGTGTAGAGACAAAAAGATCATATCTTTCCGGCCCTCGACGAATTCGTTTAGACCTCCGAAGTTCTTGTGTATAAGTTTGTGGGATAGTTACAACACCTTGTAACCTATCTACTTGGGGTTCCATTAGTCGAGTGTCGATTTGTGAGTCTTCTCGAATCTCATTAAGTTCAACTTTCCTCCAATTGGTTCTAGCATTTATAAATTCCTTCTCAAAGAATACAACATGTCTAGCCATGAATACTTTTTGTTTTTATGGTTGGTAAAAGTAATATCCATTTTTTTTTCTTTTGAATCTCCTATAAATTTACACTTTGTTGATTTGGGCACTAACTTATCTCCATCTAAACATTTGACATATGCTTCACGAGTCCCAAATCTTTAGAAAACTTCACAGATCCCAAATCTTTAGAAAAGATCAAGTTACTTCTTTTCTTTTCATATGACATATGGAGTCCGATCAACATACTTTGTTGGAACTCTATTCAAAATAAAAATAGTAGTAAGTATTGCATATCCTCAAAATGAAATAGGGATATCACTACGACTCATCATGGATCGATTATGTCTAACGACATTCTATTCCTCTGTTCGCACATATCATTCATTTATGGTGTTCCAAGTGAAGTCATCCTTTAGAGGAGATACATCACTATGTGTGGAGACAAGAAGATCATATCTTTTTAGCTCTTGACGAATTTGTTTAGACCTATGAAGTTTTATGTATAAGTTTGTGAGATAGTTACAAACCTTGTAACCTATCTACTTGGAGTTCTACTAGTAGAGTGTCGATTTGTGAGTCTTCTCGAATCTTATTGAGTTCAACTTTCTTTCCTTCTCAAGGAATACAACATGCCTAGCCACCTAAACCTTTTGTTCTTGTGGAGGGTAAAAGTAATATCCTTTTTTTTTAAATATCCTATAAATTTACATATCGTTGATTTGGGCTCTAACTTATCTCCATCTAAACATTTGGCATATGCTCGATGACCCCAAATCTAAAGGAAAGATAAATTTGCTTTCTTTTCTTTCCATATCTCATATAGATTCGATCAACGAATTTGTTAGAACCTTATTCAAAATAAAAGTAGTAGTAAGGAGTGCATATCCTCAAAATGAAACAAGGATATCACTATGACTCACTATGGACCGGACCATGTCTAACAATATTCTATTCCTTCGTTTGCACACATCATTCATTTGTGGTGTTTCAAGAGAAGTCCATTAAGAGAGAATCTCATTCCGTTTCAAGTGATCTAAAAATTCGGTGATTAAGTATTCGTCATTCGATCATATCAAAGTGCCTTAATACTTTTATTAGTTTATTTCTCAATAGTTATCATTGATTTTCTACTCAAAGCATCGACCACGACATTCACTTCACAAAGATGGTAGTGTAAAACGATCTCATGTCATTTAGTACTTCGAGCCATCTTCTTTACCTTATATTTAATTCCTTATATTTAATTCCTAGGGTGAAGATATATGTGTGTTCTCATTTCCACTCAAGAATGTCCAATGGTCTTAACAATCCCGAGGGTCTTTGGTGTTCAACCTTGACTCGTTGACATGTCAAACACCTCATCATAAATTCAATAATGTCACATTTCATTTCCTTCCACCAATAGATCTCAATACATTTTTGTACCACTAGGGTATATGGTGTAGGACATGTCACGAGCTTCGTTCAAAATTTCCTCTCGAAGCTTTTTTACATTGAGAACAAATTATTTACCACGATAGCACCATATACCTTTACTATCGATGGTAAAATCCATCATTTTCCCTTCGATTATCTTCTGTTGAATCTTAAGAAACTTTACATCATGTAATTGTTCTTCCTTAATTATTTGCTTGGTATCGGTAGTAATGTCATTTCATTTAATAGACTCACCTTACTTCTTCTAGACATAATTTCCAATTATCGTCTTTCTATATCTCATGCAATTTGCACTTGTAAGATCGCCATTGATTTTTTACTCAAAGCATTAGCCATGATATTCACTTTACCAGGATGGTAATGAAAAATAATGTCATGATTGTTTAGTTCTTCGAGCCATCTTCTTTGCCTCATATTTAATTTCTTATAGGTGAAGATATATTTGAGACTCTTGTGATCGATGTAGATGTTATATCGAATATCGTACAAGTAATGTCCCTAATTTTTAAGACAAAGATAATAACGAATCAATTCTAAATCATGAGTAAGGTAGTTCTTTTCATAGTCCTTCAATTGTTGAGACGCATAAACAATCACTCTTCTATCTTACATCAAGATTGTCGGGATGCATAGCAATCACTCTTTTATCTTGCATCAAGATTGCCCCTAACCCAATCCGGGAGGCATCGGTATAGACCATTGAATCATCATTATCCTTTGAGAGAGTCAATACTGGGGCTGTAATTAGCCTAAATTTTAGCTCTTAAAAACTCCTTTCGCATTTATCATCTTACCGAAACTTAGCATTTTTCCTTATCGGTCGAGTGAGAGGTGCGACTATTCTAGAGAATTTTGGATAATAGTCTATCATCCTAAGAAAACTTTTTACTTTCGACATATTTTTTTTGGCTATTTTCATTCCTACACTCGCTTGCACTTTACTAGGATCTACCATAATTTCATCCTTGGATACCACCTATCCAAGAAATGCTACTTGCTTGAGTTAACTCTACATGCTCCTCGAGACTCTTTGAGTATATGAGGATACCATTAATAAATACATTTAGAAATTTATCTAAGTATTTATGGAACACCCTATTCATCAAATCCATGAATACTATCGGTGTATTAGTTAATCCGAATGA